CCCGTCTCTGTCCCGAAATCCCCGGATGAGGCGAGAGGCCGGATCCGGAGCCGGATCCCTCCGGAGCCAGCAGGGAATTCCAGAGGCGCCGGGATTCCGGAGGGTCCCATTGGGAATCCAGAGGGTCCTGTTGGGATCCCGCATCCGTGTGTCACGATTCCAGAGGGTCCTGCCGGAATTCCGGAGGGTCCTGTTGGGATCCCACATTGCTGCGTTAGGATTCCAGAGGGTCCTGTTGGGAATCCGGAGGGTCCTCCTGGAATTCCAGCGTGTCCTGTTGGGATCCCGCAGCGTCGCGCCAGGATTCCGGAGGGTCCCGCCGAGATTCCGGACGGTCCTGCCGGGTTTCCAGAGGGCCAGGCTGGGTCCCATGGGGTCCTGATGGGATCCCACAGGATCCTGATGGGATTCCAGAGGATCCCCCTGGGATTCCAGAGGGTCCTGAAGGTCTTCCTGGGCTTCCCGAGGATCCCACCAGGATTCCCGAAGGTCTTCCCAGGATTCCCAAGGATCCCGCCGGGATTCCAAAGGGTCCCGCCGGGATCCCGCAGCATCATGCCAGGATCCCAGAGGATCCTGCTGGGATTCCTGAAGGTCCTGCCGGGCTTCCCGAGTATCCCGCCGGAATTCCTGAAGGTCTTCCCGTGATTCCCAAGGATCCCACCGGGATTCCCGAAGGTCTTCCCGGGATTCCCGAGGCTCCCGCCGTGATTCCCGAGGGTCCCGCTGGGATTCCCGAAGGTCCTGCCATGATTCCCAAAGGTCTTCCCGGAATTCCCGAGGCTCCCGCCGTGATTCCCAAAGGTCTTCCTGGGATTCCCAAGGATCCCACCGGGATTCCCGAAGGTCTTCCCAGGGTCCCCGGGCCCCCCGCCGTGATTCCCGAAGGTCTTCCCGGAATTCCCGAGGCTCCCGCCGGGATCCGGGCTCAGCAGACGCTGAACACGGAAGGCGCCTGTGCCCGGTACTTGTCCGCGAAGGCCTTGAGCACCGGGATCAGGTTCCGGAATGCCGGCCGGAACGAGGCCTCCGCTTCCCAGCAGTTCTTCATGAGCCGGTAAATCTGGGAAGGAGGCAGGAAACGCCGGGAAGGGCCCCGAGGAATCCCTGGATGCGGCCGGATCCCATGGGATCCGCCCCCAAGGTGGGAGCCCGAGAGCCAGGGCAGCTCCGTCCCTTATCCCGGGATTTGGCCGCCCTTGGGATGCGGGAAACCCATGGGATGGGGAAGGATGCGGGAAATCTATGGGATGCCCGTGGGATGTGGGAAAGCTGCGGGATGGGGAGGGATGTGGGATGTGGGATATCCATGGGATGGGGAAGGATGTGGGAAAGCTGCGGGATGTGGGATGGGGAGGGATGGGGAGGGATGCGGGATGCGGAATACCCATGGGATGGGGAGGGATCCAGGATACCCACGGGATGGGGAAGGAAGCGGAATGGGGAGGGATGTAGGAAAGCTGCGGGATACGGAAGGATGCGGGAAAACTGTGGGATGGGGAGGGATGTGGGATGTGGGATATCCATGGGATGGGGAAGGATGTGGGAAAGCTGCGGGATGCGGGATGGGGAGGGATGCGGGATGCGGAATACCCATGGGATGAGGAGGGATGCAGGATACCCATGGGATGAGGAGGGATGCGGGATACCCGCGGGATACCTGTGGGATACTTGCGGGATGGGGAGGGATGGGGAGGGATGCAGGATACCCATGGGATGGGGAAGGATGTGGGAAAGCTGCGGGATGCGGGATGGGGAGGGATGCGGGATGCGGGATACCCATGGGATGCGGAGGGATGCAGGATACCGCGGGACGGAGCCCCAGGATTCCCGGGATGCGGAGGGGCCGTCGGGAGCC